AAATCTATGGTGCTTGGATGATCCTATTTTAGAGTTATCGCAATTTGAAATTTCGATAGTAAATGCAAGTTTATATTACTGTTTTTAATCGAGTTTCTCCGCGTTTAGTACGACTGCTTGTCTGGAACATGATGATAGTAGAATGAGACATATTGGAATATAATTGGTTTAGATGTCCAGGAAGAGAAAGTCCATGATTAAAATTCCGACCCCTCCCCCACCCCATATTCAAAAAGGCAGTCAAAATTGCCGCCACCATGAAACTACGCCAAGTGAGGTATCGATTCCTATGTGTCTTTGGTAGCTGAATCCTTTCAAGTAAAAAACCGACGTTTCATGTAAAGAATGTTCCTAATCCAAGGTAGTGGCTGAAAACTAGGTTCAGGCAACACAAGCTCCATGGATCTCTACTGGATCACTCTCTCATGGGTCAGGTGTCCCGCGATCCAGGAAAGAGATCTTCCTTCTCATACAGGTTCCCATTTTTAAATATTGACATTTTGACCACTTCAAGCAAATGAAGCCTGTCTGCAACTGTGCACAAGCAATTAGCCTTCAGCTGCGTCTGCAGCAATTGTTGTTACGAACGTTTAGTGCGTGTTGATTTTAGCTAATTACATACTCGACTATCTGAAGGCGTTTTTTGTGCGTAGGTAACGCGATCTGTTGGAGAATGAACGAAGTTTGAACTGAGCGATTCATTCAATCTCACACTCCTGTTGTTCTCCAACAGGGTGCTCCACTCTCGCACATAAAACGTCTTCAAAGAGTCGAGTATGTAATGTGCCAAAATTAGCACTCATAACATATTCGTAAAAACAATTGCTGCAGACGCAGCAGAAGGCGAATTGTTCGGCTAAAAAAAAGAGTATGATAGGATTTCTGCATGCAACGAGAAGATATGTATTTGATTGACTCGAATTGAATGAAAAATAAAAATGTGAACATGATCGACACCTATTCAATATGAAAAAATGAATAAAAAACCGAATCAAAAACAGTAGTAAACTTGCGCATTCACTGTAAAAATTTCAAATTGCGATATCTCGAAAATAGGATCAGCCAAGATTTTGATTTTTTGTGATTTTAAGTCTACACCTACAATAGATTTACCCCCTTCAAACCGTTTTGGGGTACATTATTGTCACATTTTTTTCTCCTTCAAAGTTCCTCGGTTTGGTGAATCGGGACCTCCCCAGGTTCGTTCAACTGAACTTTCGGTCCGTGTCGCGTTGGAGGTGGACTTCCATATTATAGCCGTTACTGCCGTGCTAAGCAAGAACGCCATAAATCCATCAGATTTTTCCGCATTTTTTAGAACGCAACACTTGGTAAATAAAAACTATTTTACCCATGCACCTCAAATTTTCAGGTTAAGTTCTGTATAGTATTTGCGAAAAAATTCTGTAAAAACATTGTCCCAGGGTACACAATTTTGTCTGCTATGATACATTGTTTTCAAACAATTTAAAATGGCCTTTACGGCGATTTTGCATCGTACGGCAGTTTATCCTTGAGCCTTTTTAGCTGTCCGATCACTGAAAAAAAACTCCAGCCGTGGGAGCCGCAATTACGGGCTATATAGACATACCGTCCGTTCCGGGCTCAAAGGCGGAAAATTCCGGCTGCTGGAGCCGTAGCTTCGGCCTCTGAACCCGGAGCAATCGAAGCTACGGCTCCAGCAGCCGGAATTTTCCGCCTTTGAGCCCGGAACGGACGGTATGTCTATATAGCCCGTAATTGCGGCTCCCACGGCTGGAGTTTTTTTTCAGTGATCGGACAGCTAAAAAGGCTCAAGGATAAACTGCCGTACGATGCAAAATCGCCGTAAAGGCCATTTTAAATTGTTTGAAAACAATGTATCATAGCAGACAAAATTGTGTACCCTGGGACAATGTTTTTACAGAATTTTTTCGCAAATACTATACAGAACTTAACCTGAAAATTTGAGGTGCATGGGTAAAATAGTTTTTATTTACCAAGTGTTGCGTTCTAAAAAATGCGGAAAAATCTGATGGATTTATGGCGTTCTTGCTTAGCACGGCAGTAACGGCTATAATATGGAAGTCCACCTCCAACGCGACACGGACCGAAAGTTCAGTTGAACGAACCTGGGGAGGTCCCGATTCACCAAACCGAGGAACTTTGAAGGAGAAAAAAATGTGACAATAATGTACCCCAAAACGGTTTGAAGGGGGTAAATCTATTGTAGGTGTAGACTTAAAATCACAAAAAATCAAAATCTTGGCTGATCCTATTTTCGAGATATCGCAATTTGAAATTTTTACAGTGAATGCGCAAGTTTACTACTGTTTTTGATTCGGTTTTTTATTCATTTTTTCATATTGAATAGGTGTCGATCATGTTCACATTTTTATTTTTCATTCAATTCGAGTCAATCAAATACATATCTTCTCGTTGCATGCAGAAATCCTATCATACTCTTTTTTTTAGCCGAACAATTCGCCTTCTGCTGCGTCTGCAGCAATTGTTTTTACGAATATGTTATGAGTGCTAATTTTGGCACATTACATACTCGACTCTTTGAAGACGTTTTATGTGCGAGAGTGGAGCACCCTGTTGGAGAACAACAGGAGTGTGAGATTGAATGAATCGCTCAGTTCAAACTTCGTTCATTCTCCAACAGATCGCGTTACCTACGCACAAAAAACGCCTTCAGATAGTCGAGTATGTAATTAGCTAAAATCAACACGCACTAAACGTTCGTAACAACAATTGCTGCAGACGCAGCTGAAGGCTAATTGCTTGTGCACAGTTGCAGACAGGCTTCATTTGCTTGAAGTGGTCAAAATGTCAATATTTAAAAATGGGAACCTGTATGAGAAGGAAGATCTCTTTCCTGGATCGCGGGACACCTGACCCATGAGAGAGTGATCCAGTAGAGATCCATGGAGCTTGTGTTGCCTGAACCTAGTTTTCAGCCACTACCTTGGATTAGGAACATTCTTTACATGAAACGTCGGTTTTTTACTTGAAAGGATTCAGCTACCAAAGACACATAGGAATCGATACCTCACTTGGCGTAGTTTCATGGTGGCGGCAATTTTGACTGCCTTTTTGAATATGGGGTGGGGGAGGGGTCGGAATTTTAATCATGGACTTTCTCTTCCTGGACATCTAAACCAATTATATTCCAATATGTCTCATTCTACTATCATCATGTTCCAGACAAGCAGTCGTACTAAACGCGGAGAAACTCGATTAAAAACAGTAATATAAACTTGCATTTACTATCGAAATTTCAAATTGCGATAACTCTAAAATAGGATCATCCAAGCACCATAGATTTGCCCACTGAAAACCGGTTTTGGGTATAATTTTTTTCGCATTTTTTTGTTTTTTCAAATGCTTCAAGGCCCCTGTGGCTTTAAGACAAGGTCCATACGAACCAAAATTTTTTGCACCGCTGAACTGGAACCTCGACTCATATACGTGAACTATCGACAGTGGCGACTCTTAAATGTTGGCAACACTATTTTTCCCTCCATTTAAATGTATGTAAAACAATCGATTCTAGGTGAGACAGACTGCCTCACCTAGGATCGATATATTCAATGGATTCAAATAGAGGAAAAACAGTGTTGCCAAGTTGCTGGAATCGCCACTGACTAGCTCGACATAGTCAACTGTAGAGGCGGTTCCGTCGGTAAGCGCGATCGATAGCTTGTTCTGTTTCCCAAAAACGTCCACTCAACTTAAAAACTGAGTGATTCTGGTGATAGTGGCAATAAATCAACGTAAATTTCAACCATAAGCGTGCTATAAAAGTCGTCGTTGTTACACTATTGAGCGGAAGAACAGCTAGTAATGGGCCGATATTAAAGCATAATCAGCAGTCGTAGAAAACGCCCGTAATCACAAGGATATGCAACCCAACTCTCACGCACTTGCAGCAGCTCGTTTACTGTCATGGCATGGCACATGGCAATCTACCATGCAGACTACATTTTGCAATGAGGAACTACGACTTATGGCTCAAAAAACAACAAATGTGTCATTACTTTTCTGATGCAGATAGATATTTTCATGTATGAGCCAGAAATTGTTGCTCCATATTGCAAAGTGCAGTCCATGTGATCCTCTTGTGCTTGTCACCCACTCAAATAAGCCACAAATAATAATCAGATGCTTCCTCGATCATTTTTTCTCAGAAAATGGTCTTCAGTTTTATAGGTTATAGAGCGAAAGCATAGAATAGGATCCTTTACGCCTCGGACTGTGAATATTGACTTTGAATTTTTGTTCTTTCTTTCTGAACAATTTCAAACAACATTGGTGGTAAACTTGAAGTAGAATCAGTACTCTGAAAAAATAAAAACAGCTATGAAAATTTCCTAGCAAATCTTGACATGAAAGAGAAAATCCCAAAATCGCACATAGTCCCAATCATTTCTCATCCACTTAATTTTAGGTGGAAAGAATGGAAACCCTTTGGCTTAGCATTGCCGCATTTATCGCTCTGTCACAGAAAATCAGCAATCGCCGGCAGTTTGCACTCAGTTGTTTCAATAAATCACGAATAGGTCGCATTACTGTATTTAAGTTTTGATGGCATGGATGATGACCTTCAAAAGCACGAACTTGGATTTGAACGCTTTCAATTTTTTTAATACTTTACAATTTGTCACGGAGTTAGTTTAGTTGCCTGTTACATCCAAATTAAAAGAGGGTCTGGGAATTTACAGCACGCTCTTCTAAGTGCGCCTGTTAGCCTTTTATCACCATATTTTCACGTAAGAAAAAAAGCCTGTTCACATTGCAGGCAAGATAATCAGTCCTCGCTAGTCATGTTGCTTTATTCTTTTATATCATGCATTTATATTCATTTACTTGTGGCTTGCAAATTTCCGACAGTTTACAAAATTTACACAATTTTCCGACAAAACCTCTATTGCGCGGTAAAAATTTAGGGGGAGGGCGGAGGTCCTCTTTCTCTCCCTTACCCCTTCCCCCAATAAGTGGAGAGCAAAAATACAAACCTTTCTTAATTGGCGGGATATTTGAGTAAACAATCGATAAAAATGAAGGAACCTCCTCCGGAATGACTATAGTTGCATTTACATCTGAAACAGAAATTTATACGATCTGGTGAGTATGACAAGAAACAAATCGATGCTCCCAAAGCGGAACCGTTGAACACGTGCCGCTGGTGCGGTTTCAAAATTTTTGCTCCCATTTTACTGTTTTAAAGAGAAAAATAACCACTCTATGGCTTGAATTTTCTACGCACCATTCTACTGACAGAGAAAAAAAATCAAGAGAGTTTCTAGAAATTACGTTGATTAGTTTTCCAAAGAAAAAATAAAGTATGGGGACAAGTTGCGCCGACGCAAACGGCGATACCTGGTTTCGCACTTCGGCCATTGACGTATTCATGCTGCGGCTGAAGAAATGAAATTAGTTACTGTTTGCATGAGTTGATGTAAAATGGGCGAAAATGAATGATTGGTGAAGGTTAAATGCAGCACTGCGGTTTCGGCAACTCGGGGAATCAATACAAGCCGCGAAAAATGCAAGTCGATTTGAAAATAGTTATGCTGAAAGGAACCTCGTGCATGTGCGTAGTATTTTTGCGCTTCACAATTCCTTTTGATTTCAGGTATCTTTTGCACTTGAGACACACCGGTCGAATGGTCGATTGCGATCAATTGATTATTTCGGAACTATTGAAAATTCTAATGAGTTTTCGAGCAGCACATCTCACTGTAGCACGTCAGGGATTTGCACCCACATTTGAAGCTCTGGTTGCAAATAGGGCATTTCTTGGTTTCGGTGTCTCAGGATCTTCGTTAACGTCTAGTCCACTATAATTAAAGGAAATAAATTGAATTTATTAAAACTTTTACTGAATTTTCTTTATGATTTTAAATGCTGAAAACTACAGATTTCAGAAAATTTGCCCAAAATTTTCCTCTCTAAAGTATAAATTAGCAGTGGAGATTCTGAAACACCGCAACCAAGAAATACCCTTTCTGCACCCAACGCCTCATTTGCCAGAAAATATTTTATATGAGCTTTTAAAGCCTATCCCGACTAAATGTCGCAAATATAAAAGCAGGACGATTCGCACTATTCACTCGGGACGTATAGGTTTGGAGTTATTAAAAAGTGTCTCTTCGTCAAATTGTGTGTGCCTGACGTTTTACACCGTGATGTGGACCCATGTGGACCGCGTTAAGCAGAAAGGAACCAAGCTACATCAGCTACTGCCATATTCAACACGGCAATTTAATTTTGTACAAGAGGACGTATTTTCGGATTCCTTTGAAACTTTTAAGGAATTTGCTCGTTCTATGTACAAAATTCACTGAAATTTGCGTAAAAATTCGCACAACCATTTCATTTGAAAAATCAAATTGCTCAATTAAAGACACTAGCTGATGTGGCTCAGTTCCTTTCTGCTTACGGCGATCCATGTGATGCTCAAAATTTTGAAGAAATGTCCTAAAATCCAGGAGTAATCGATTGATCGATCGAGTATCACGAATTGTCATCGAAAATGCTGAAAATCCACCTTAAGTCAGTAAGTCTTCCCACACAGCTCGTTTCAACATCAACACGTCCATTTGGCACCCTCGCTAAAAGAACTTCACGCTTTTATGAATATCTTCGTTTATAAATTACCGACATGAGCCTGCACGAGGATAAAACCACAGATGGAATTATGCAAGAATGACAGGAGCCTGATTATCATCAATTCACTCCAGCTATTCAAGGGAAAGCTGGATGATAAGTTAGATTTCTCGTACAGCTCACTCCCGCTTAACTCTGAATTGACACCTCAGAAATAATCTTTCAAGTTCGTTGAGGGTCATACAGAGGGCAGAACATTAAAGAACTAGGTCAGATCATCGTTTTCCAGCCAAAAACACGTAACTACAGTTCAACGATGCGAAAATTCACTCATAAATTGCGTTTTTATGAGAAAACTGTTGGGCGTTTCTAATTGGAAAAATCAATAGAGAATTTGCAGGTGTCTGAAATTTTCTGAATTTCATCTTTAAAATGATACTGCTAGGAAAATTGAGTACAAGTTGGTTTGGTCCTTGGTTTCTAAATTGAAAAATTATTGGAGAAAATATGACAAAATAACCTAATCTGCTAAAATGCATGTGTTTAAACGGAAAATGCCGCCAGATGACGTCATAAAGCGGTACATTTTCTCACTTTTGAATCAATTTTTCTCCAATTTCCCATATCAGAAAAAAAATTATGAGAAATACTGCAAACTCAGTTCATTATGCACTCTCAGATGAAGCAATACAATTTGTATATGCAAACTCTCCATTTTCCCTCTTCTTTTTCGTCAAATTAGCAAAATTTTGTACGGAACTTTTTGCACGTATTTTTGCACAAAACTGAAATGTTTTAGTCAATTTGGCAAACTTAGGATAGAGTTATGGTTTTTCCTATTCGAAATGGCGCGAAAGGAAGGGCTGAGTGCTAGAGGGGCTTCATTGGACCGTATTAAGCCGAAAGTGACCAAGCCACATTAGCAATTGCCAAATTTAATTGGACAATGTAAGTTTTTACAAACGGCTGTGCGCATTTTTGTGCAAATTTCAGTGAATGTTCTGCATAGTACGAAGCAAATTCCTTGAAATTGCATCGGGTCAGTTGCGCTGGTTATAGAGACTCGAGTTTTTGGGATTTAAGATTATAGATTGGCAAAAATGATAATATCGATTCAAACGCTAAGTCTCTGTATGCACACCACTATTAACAGAGGTATCGCACATCGAAAATATCTATATTTTTAATGGATTCTATCAAAGGAAAGACATGCAGTGTTGCAGAAGTGATACGTCGCGTTTTTCTATGAGCGATATCTTCGTTAATATTGGACAAGAAGCAATTTGCCTTCAGCTGAGTCTGCAGCAATTGTTGTTACGAACATGTTGTGCGTGCTTCTTTCAGTTCATTACATACTCGACTCTTTGAATGCGTTTTATGTGCAAACATAGAGCACCCTGTTGGACAACAACAGAAGTAAGATTGAAGGAATGGATCACTCTATCCTTACTTCATTCGTTCTCCAACAGATTTCGCTACTTATGCACATAAAACGCCTTCAAAGAGTCAAGTATGTAATGAGTTAATATCAGCACGCACAACATATTCGTAACAACAATTGCTGCAGACGCAGCAGAAGGCGAATTGTTCAGTTAAAAAAAGTGTATGATAGGAAGTCTGCATGTGGCAAAAAGGTATGTATTTGATCGACATGAATCGAATGTAAAATAAAAACGTGTATCGGTCGACACCGATACAGTGAACAAATGAATGAAAAACCGAATCAAGAGGAAAAGAAAACTTGCATTTACTTTAAAAATTTCAAATTGCAATATCTGGAAAATAGAACCAGCCAAGATTTTGATTTTTCACGATTTTAGGTCTACACGAACCATAGATTCACCCCTTGCAAACCGTTTTGGGTGCATGTTTATCCCATTATTTTTCCCCTTTAAGACCACTGTGTTTTAAAAAAACCTAAAGTATGAGCGGAGATTCTGAAAAAGCAACCGAGATACGCTTTTCTGAAGTCTCATTTCGACTAAATTTTGCAATTAGAAACTACAATGTCTGGCTCATGGGCAAAACCACGTATGTGCAAAGGAGAACTAACTATACATGCGTTGTTTCTAAACTGACACAGAAATTGCAGTTCCTAATCGCACGCAATGTAGTCTGATTTTTTTCAACATTTTCCTCAGAGGTACAACGGTTACGTATGTCTATAGTTTTCTTTTGCAAAGTGCACTCTTCATAGTGCACAGGTTGGCCTAGTGGTCAGCGCGTCCGACTCTAGGTCAGGAGGTCCTGCTTCAAATCCTATTAGTGGCGACAAATTTTCACGAGACTGACGAGTCTATCTGCAGAGATAGATTTCATTTGGCCTTAATCCCCGAAATTTTAAAAGCCTTAGATGAGGGCGTGTAGTTCCGGCAGTTTAAATGGGCTCTACTTGGTTTGCCGGGGTGCACTGAAGAGCAAAAAAAAGGAAAAAAAAATAGAAAGAAGTGCACAGATGAGGAACTGCTAAGCGGAAATGAATAAGAGGTGTTCACGAAGACGCTATGCGTCAGCTCGACGCAGCCAAGGATTTTTTTGGAATAAAGCCATGTGAAATAAGCACATGACCACGCTGCCACAGAGACGCACGCATGAGGCATGACACATATCAACAGCTTTTTCTGCTTTTCTGAGAATTTACATCCAAACAGATGGCGGTGAAACTGTTTCATGAACTGGACGTATTTATGCTAAAAGGAACTATCGACGGTGAAACTACCAAACCACGTATCTCGTTTGCGGTGTTTAAAAATCTACACTCACATTTTATTTTTTTGAAGTAGACCAAATCAATATCATTCCTTGAAATTTTCACGGAATTTTCTCCGCACAAACAGGAAAAATCACAGAAATGTTCAAGACTGGATGTTAAGTAGTTTTTCATTTAAAAAATAAAGTATGACAGGAAGTTTGCGACGTCGCAAACCGAGATACGAGGTTTGGTAGTTTCACCGTCGCTATGTAACATGCAATCCCTATGCACATAGTTCCTTTTGCATAAATATGTTCAACTAAAGATTAATATCGATGGACGAAGTGCAAAACTACGTATGTATCTCCTCATCGGCAGAGCAAGGGGTGGCAAAAGGGCGATAACCCCCCCCCCCTCCTCCCCATACTTAAAATATGTGGGGAAAGGAAAACGGAGAAGGTGGGGAAGGAATGTGAAAAATCCGTATTTTATGAGTGTAAAACGTGGATTATTGTCCTCATTCCGCCGGTTTTGAAACGGCTGGATTCGTCCTCGATATTGCACCCACCATGCACACCAAGGGTCTTAAGTAAGCATAAAGGAGTGGTGTCATCTATTGTAGAAGAGTGAAAAACAGATCAACCTTCAGGGGATAACTAGGTGTATTACCTATTTCTTTGAAGTTTGATGACGATATCCCCTACTTTAAATTGCGATTGCTCCCTGTGCTATTATTTTTACTTTTTTGACGACAATTTGGTGAATTTCAATGAATTTTGGAAAATTTTTAGAATAATTAGAAAATCAAAAGGTCAAAAAAGTTAATTAAAATTCTTGTGATGCTGATTTAGGAAAGCCTAGCGATGATCCTCAGTCGCAGATTTTACTCATCAATTGATTTATATGTAAAATATAATTGATGTCACCGGCGACCTTCGATGTGAAAAGTGAAACTTCAAAACATCGTATCAAGTACCTAACATCCTACATCCCTCGAATTGTGCATGTGCGTGCCTCTTTCATTCTACCCAGTGACCGAAGAGGGGCAGTTTTTACTTGAGAATAAATTCTTAGATTATAAAATAATAAACACTACATAAAACGTTTGAAACGAAATTGGACTGCATTTTGCAATTTGGACCTGTAAATTCTGGCTCACCTGAAAAAACACTTATGTTCATAGGGAGACTAATGGCACATACGTTGTTTTTAAACCGGGCCGGAATTTATACGTCCAAATTGCAAAATGCAGTCCAATTGTGGTAGTTATATCACAGTTAGATGGACCCAACTCAATCCAAGAACGTCTGCTGACGCAGATATCCGAATTTTAATTCTTCTTATGGAGGATGGAGAATCAGAATTTTTTGAGACTTTGAAAAGATTTATAGCCAAATTTTCCATTATGTGAATGTATGTTGAAACTTTTACTTCATTATCTTTTCAACATCACTGCTAAACCGGTTATGAAGTTCCTCACTACCAACGATTCTAACAAAAGTTTTCGGGCACAGAAACCAAACTTTCGTTGGGCCTAATCAAATTCGAATTCCTCGGACCAAAGTCGGGTTACGTGAGCCGTCACAATTCGGTGTTCAATATGAACCCAAGTTCAGTATCTGCGCGCTGAGTATTGAAATTGATAGGCAAAGCAACAGACAAAGGGAAAATGGAGGCATCCCAATGGGGGAAGCGGGTGGTTGCAATGGACAAAAGAGTTGAAGAATGGACTAACTTACGGCAACCCACGAGAAACCTTACACAGTTAGGTTATCATTTCTCCCTTCGTCTACAAGAACTACCCGTCTCAACCAACAGGATCGCTCCATTTCTCTGTATTTCCTTTGTCCATAGGTTTGTCTATCAATTTCAATAATCAGCCTGCTGGTCTGCCCCCCTACAATTAAGATCTGTCGTATTTTTACTTATTCCTCATTACCTATACAGGGTGATACCACCTGCACCAGACAACCCGCAACACTGCCGTAATAAGGAAAAACGCCGTATGAATATTCGAGAGTTGCCAAAATTCCCTTGATAAAACATGCATTTTTGACGACATTCATGCACATTTTTCTTTGAAATTTTCAGATGTTTTAGATTAAAAAGCGTACAAAATTGTCTGAAAATTCTGGAAAAAAATATTCACAATTTTCCAGGAAAATTCAGTTTTTATCGAGGGAAACTTGGCAACGTCTGACGGCTCATACGGCGTTCTTCCCTAGCACGGCAGAGTAGGATCCCTCAATTGAAGCGCCGGGTGCAGATAGGGCAATTCTTGGTTGCGGTGCCTCAATATCTCCGTTAACGTTTCATCTAATATAATTAAAGAAAGTGCAAGGAATCCGTTAAAACTTTTACTGGATGTTCTTTATTATATTACAATGCTGAAAACTAAAAATTTCATAGAATTCACCCGATGGTTTCCTTTCTAAAATACAAATTAGCTGTGAAGATTCTGAAATTCCGCAACAATGAAGAGCCCTTTTTTTGCGCCAAACGCCTCAATTGGGTCGACTCATGCGAAAACGTCCGTTGTCCAATACAGGGTCTCAGAAGTGCAGTGGTTGCTTTTGCTCTACGACACTGATGAATAAATTCTTAATTACACTTAAGGAATTATTTATAAAATTTGTCTACTTTCCTAACGTCTTAAATCATCTTGCATCTTAAAGATACAACGAAATCGTCCACTCAAATTCTGAAACACCGTATTGGACATCGGACGTTTTCGCATACGCCGATTCAATTTGCCCGTGGTCTCCTTTGTCTATTGCTATGTCTATCAATCCCAATAATCATCTTGCGTCGTGAAGTTACAACGGAATCGTCCTCTCAAATTCTGAAACACCGTATTGGACATCGGACCTTTTCACATACGCCGATTCAATTTTCCCGTAGTCTCCTTTGTCTATAGGTATGTCTATCAATTCCAATTACAAGCCCGCTGAAAGCGCAGTTTTCGAATTGAGAAGCGGGCGGACTTACAGAGATCGAGAAACAGGAGCGTCAAGTATCCTCGCACCAGGTGACGTAGGTAACTCATATTAGGCTGGAAAGCGTTGGCACTTCACTTCACTTGACTCCACTTCACATGGTCGCTCGGCGTATCCCTGGGGATAATCTCGGCTCTGGAATCGGGATTCGGATCGGGGAAACACATCGGGACACTCACTCGCACACACACGCGCGCTCGCCTCGCTTCGCGGCCCTCGATTGAGGCTCCAAGCTCGCGCACCGGACCTGGGTGACGAGCCACGGACGCGCAACTTTCACTTTTCCTGGGCCCATCCCGCCTCGACTTCACCGCTGTGCGCCGGTCGCGCCGATGCCAAACTTCCGATCAAAACCAACTTTAATACCCCGAATTGTGTGTAATCAAAAAAGGGCTCTAAGTGGGTTGGCAGCCATGTCCCAAGGTTACTATACCGGTGCGTATCGGCGAGGCGTCAATGGTCGATTATCGATATCTCCCCTTTGGGGCTATGGTAAAAAATCGATCATTTGGGTGTTCGTTGCGAAAAACCTGTCTATCAACCCTTTCTCGTACACTGGAAAAAAAGTCGCTTGGATCTAGAATCCAGACTCTTGAAAACAATAACAAGAAAAAATACTCATGATTCCATCGGATTTTTGCTTAAATCGAGAACCAAGCTCTTAATTTAAGCGGATTTCTTTTTGATTCAAGCAGAAATCCGAGTGTTTTTTCATGTCATTGTTTTCAAGAGTCTGGATTATAGATCAAAGAGATTTTTTTTTCCAGTGTAGGTTTAAATGGTAGATGAATCGATACATCGCAAATCACGCTACGCCACTGATGTATCGTTGGTGCGTATGTCGTGGGTGATATGTCAAAAAAGGCATTTTATCCAATTCTTAAGCTGCCTTGCTACGGAAAAACGCCGTATGAAACCTTAGGCGTTGCCAAAATCCCTTTGATAAGTCACGAATTTTCTGATAAACGTACGAATATTTTCCTCTGATTTTTCAGATAATTTTGTTCACAATATTCACCTATAGCTCCTGAGAATTTCAAGGGAAAATATTCCTATCATTCCTTAAAAATAAACTTATCATCAAAGAAAGACTTGGCAACTCTCAAATGTTCATACGGTGTTCTTCCTCAGTATGGCAGTAAGGCAGATAGTCAAATTTTGACAGTTCACGTAATCATGCAAACTTAAGACAAAAGCTCAGCAGTTTTCAATATTTTTTTAAAAAAATTGCGGAACAAATCTACGAGCTCTCCTTGTTTCTATCTCTTGAAATGCCTCTTACATATTTAAATGTTAAAAATTTAAAAATTCTGTGTTTTACGACATACTGCACATTTCCGGTAAATGCTTGTTCAGGAGCTGAAAATGGGTTTAAATACTTTCCTACGTAGCTGCTTGCGCCCCGTAGCGGCCAAGGGGGCAAATCCCTAGCAGCATATTACGATGAGTAAGCCTCATTTACTGTTTATTGAAGTTACAACTTCCTGATGTGACGCTGGTTGTCTATTGTTTTATTTTAAGGGGCTAACGGCTGCTCGTGATGGACAATTTGGATTAACAGAAAACGGACCATATCTACAGTAAAACTGCAAAAACACCTGCTACTAAAAAACTAAAAATAGTAGTAGTAGTAGTAGGCAGTCAATTTGTGACGCTAAAAATTTGACGTCTTAATTTATATTTCGGATGGAATAATACTGAACATTATTTCTTAAAAGATTTCTTGACTTTTCCTCTCTGTAAAAAAAATACTCTGAAGATTTCACCTTCACAAAATACCACAATACCATGGATCTACATAAGTACTTATTCTAAACATCGACTTTAGGACAATTTGTCTCTTCCTAGACATGGAGACGTAGGTAACTTCATTCTGAGGTTGCAAAATTGGCTTTAAAAACGCAGTTTTTTATAAGTATAGGCGCAACTTCTGTTCAGAATTTTGCTGTTTTTTTACGTTTAATCGGAAGAAATATCGTGCACTTCTAAATTGAAAGTGCTCGACAGATTTCTGGTAACGATACACCTCACTGAGAAAATGTAGATTAGCGCATCAAAAAGTGAGTTTGTATTTCCTTTCTTCCATAAGGCTCCATGTAAATTTGAAACTTTGAACGCGTACGCGAACTCGTATTTCTTGGAGTAGCAAAAACTGCACTTATGCGCTGTGTCCTCCAAGCCCTCCAAATGTAGTTCCGAACTTCCGTCTGGAAAATGACGAGTTCGGCTCTTTCCAACTAATTTTTGAAAAGTTGTAAAACAATAATTTTTCAGTGCAATGTTGCAACCGTGAAAACCGAAATGATCATAACTTGAGTCATGAATAGTGTTACTTCATTCGGAAGGACAGTTGGATGTCGCGAGCATTTACGGTCGTTTTACATTTCGTCGTTTCTCTGACGCAAGGGCGAGTCTCGGTTTTCACATGAGCCCCAGAAAGCATATTTTCGAGGGTAAAAAAGGGCTCTTATGGAACTGGAGATAGGTCCTGATGCCATAGGTGCGACGTTTCGTAATTTACAGAATCGTAAATGCAAATGGGTTCTTGCACTAATGTCAATTTAGGGGCTTGGATGACAAGGCGTAAAAGTGCAACTTTTGCTTTTTCGAATTATACGTGTTTTAAGTTTCAAAATTACATGGAGCCTCATGGCGGAAAGGAAGTTTAAGCTCATTTTTGATGCTTTATGCTGATTTTATTTTTAAATTTTTCACAGAATATACTTTTTAAACTTGTTTTAGTTAAGTTCGTGAATATCTCATTTTTTTACAAACGGCACCTATGCGCCTTGTCCTCCAAGCCCCTCAATTGAATCAGTAATTACGAAAACACACCAACTCAAAAAATTAAAATAATCAAGACCCACACAAAACTGCACAGTAAGTGTAGAAGTTAGTCTAAGAAAAATATTTTTGGTGTCGAAAGACAAGTATCTATGGACACTTTAAAAGTCCAAGTTTGAACAGATGCCCTAACTTCGATGACCTTTATTAAAATTTATTTTCTTTAATGAAAATTGAGCATTTTCGAGTTACCGAGTTGATGTGTTTTCGTTCTCACTGACTCAATTATGCTATAGCCTGTATTGATACTCATTCCTTAATCTGCTCTTTCCTGTAACATTGTATCATTAAAATAATCATTTTCATAACCTTTAGTAAAATCCGAGAACCCAATCAATTGTAAAAGCCTCGGTACCTCATTCCTTAAAACACCTCAATTTGGAGGACACTGCGAAAAATAGCTGTTTTTGAAAAAAAATAGATAATAATGATTTCACATAAAGCTAGTATAAATGCATATCCTGTGAAAAATTCGCTCCAAAATTTCAATTTCTAAGCATCAAAAGGTCAGTTTGAACTTTCTTTCCGCCATAGGGGTCCGTGCAATTTCGAAACATGAAACACGTATTTCTCGAAATAGCAACAACTGCACTTATGCGCCTTATCTTCCAAGCCCCTTAATTCTCTGGGTCGATACCTATCACAACCTTGGAATGAAGTCGTGTTCCTTCAGGACGACGATATGGCAACGCTATCCTCGCGTATTGCAGTGGCGTCATTGACATGTGCAGTGAACAAAGTGAAAGACAGCTGACACGAAGCGAGATGATCTCACCACCTGTAAGCGCATCCTCAGATAAGCTAGCTGAGGGAAAAAAAGGAATCCAATTGAACCACTTTCATAGCGCCTAATCAAATAATATGATCTCATATAGTGCCGTGATCAGGAAAAACGCCGTATGATCCTTCAGACGTTGCAATATTCCTTCAATGAAACACGTATTTACGAGGATCATTTTGGATATTTTCCTCCAAAATTTTCAGACGGTATTTTTCGCAATTTGATATAAAATATTTGAAAATTTTAATAAAAAAATATGCATAACTCTTCCCAAAAATTCGTGTATTATCTGCGGAAATTTGGCAACTCTCGAATGTTCACACAGCGTTCTTCCTTGTCACGGTAGTATAGACAAACCACTATCATGCATCTCGATGTGTGATGTATGGATAGATAACTAATCGTGCTCCCCGGTAGGTTTGTTGCCTATGTGGCAAAATTGAAGGGGAACTCCTATTGAACGATATCAGCCGATGACGATGCAATAAAACGAAGAAATTCACCGGCTCTAAAGGTCGTATTCATGGTCGTACCCAAACAGCTCATTTCCTGAAGAGATCCCATTTGCTTTACATTGTGATCAAGGGAGGTCTAAGGAAGCCATTAAAATAGCATCATAAAAAAAATGTAATTTTTGCCAACCTCCGGTGAAATTCAGCAATATAACTTAGGAAATGGATCGCAGCAAGCGGTTAAAATTATTTGCCACTGCAAGAAGTTCCTACAAAATACGGAAAAAACAATTCTAAGACTTTGACAAACTTTAGGGTAGGTGCGAACTTCCTTTAAAGTTGACCTAACTCACAATATGTTTTCTGCCGTATTTCTTGCAATGGCAAAACATTATAATCCTTTACAAGAATTCATTTTCATGGTTATACTATTGAGTCACTCGAGTTTGAAAAAAGTCGCCCTTTTTATGATGCTATTTTGAAGGCTCACTTAAACTACCCTTAATCAAAATGAAAACCATATGAAGCATCCATAGTCCATAAAAAAGGATCTGTTTAACTAACGACTATGAATACGGCGTGACCCTTGGGCTATTTAACATTGGTAAGGATCATGCGGTGATATCGCGGATTGCACCAAGCAACTATTCTAACTCTCCGGAGCTCAGATTGCATAGCAGGCTAATTGAAGGAGTTTAAGGAGACTCACGGGCACCCCGCGCGCTTTCAGATCCATGTTCTGTTCCTCTTTGACGCCGGAGAAACATTAATGTGAAGTTCTTATGATATTCCGTGTCTGCTAACTCTGGATAGTTTTGCCGTGTAAAGGAAAAACTCAGTACAAGCATTGAACACGAGGATGGGAAATCTGCAAAAATTATCGTTTTTAAGATGTTGTATTAAGGATATCCTTCAATGCCTCTCAATATATTTTCTTTTGCATTTTTTATTTTTTAATGTCGTAATCATTGCA